CTGGATCATTACTCTTTTTATAACAAAAGCTTAATCTGAACTTACTGTTTTAACACATAAAGAAGATTTTGTATTAAATATTGCATTATATACACTATATGGGCAAAAGCTTGTGGATTCTGACCATCACACCGTATATGCGCTTGCTGAACATCCCATTCCAGATTTAGTCCCCTTTTGCTGTTAGAATAACCTCCACTCTTCTGGGAAGCTTTCCACTAGATGTTGGAGCATGGCTGTGGGAATTTGTGTTCAGCTACAAGAGCATTAGTGAGATCAGGCACTGATGTTGGGTGAGGAGGTCTGGGGTGCAGTCGGTGTTCCAGTTCATCCCAAAGATGTTCAGTGGGGTTGAGGTCAGGGATCTGTGCAGAACTCCAACCTTAACACACCATGTCTTCATGGAGCTCGCTTTGTGCACAGGGGCATCGTCATGCTGGAACAGGTTTCAGCCTCTTAGTTCCAGTGAAGAGAAATTGTAATGCTACACCATACATACAGTTCGGAGAAGACGCACATGTGGGTGTGATGGTCAGGTGTCCATAAACATTTGGCCATATAGTGTATATACTGTATATCTGTAAGAAACAGCTACTGATATTCTTGGTATTGATACTCACACCATCACAATGTTTTTATGGGATCTTGGGTATATGCTTATTAAATGAAAAAATTAAGTCTTCAGAATAGTTTACGGTCACATCAGTGAGCCAGGTCAAGCAGTGTGTGTGTTCAGGCTAGCTTGTCATTGCAGGTGAACTGAATGAACTCAACTGGAACTGAGATGTATCTTGTGAAGAGTTCAAATGTTATTATGTTACAATAGTTCTAAAATGGTACAATAGTCATTTGCTTGTAGGATTTTCTCATGGAAACACCAGCCTTTACGATGCATCAAAATGTTTTCTAATGTCAGTGTCTGTTCAAATTTTATTATTTTACCAAAGAATTGTTTTACCTCTCAGGCAGGAGAATTATGTTACTACTGATTGTATGTAAAATGTACCAGGCCTGTATTAACTGTAAAATATGAAAAGGATAATGTCTCTGTATTAATATTACAAAACAGGTATTGAGGATTTGCATTGAGTCTACTTCATAATTTACAAGACAAAGATACAAGACGGTCATTCAAATTGTGTTTGTGTCTGGAGACAAACTGATAAACTTCTGATAAAGTCAAGATTAAAGGTGTAATCTTGAAAACTGTTGATAATGGTATAATTTTAAAGATATCTTAGAAAAAGTCATTCGCAGTATTGCCTTGTTATTGGTTTCATTGCAATTCACTTAGCAGGCAGCAGGGGGCCAGAAATTAAAAAGACCAGATACATTTTATTATGATGTATAGAATAAGTAGGATATATTATGCCTGAGTAACAACAACAACAACAACAACAACAATAATAATAATAATAATAGTAATAATAATAATAATAATAATAAATATTTTTATATTAGGCTCAAAATCTAAAATGAAGCGTTTTAATATTGAACTATATAGCGTTTCGAAATAAGGTTTATATATTATATATAATTATAAATTAAATTATAAATATATAATTTTGGTATAATTTAGATATAGCCTATCACAGCCTCTCTACTTTTCCTGTTACGTGGCTCCTTTTGGCGTAAATATCGCGCATGCGCTTTGTATCCCTCACGCGTACTTCTTACCGCGCATGCGCGCTGCATCCCTCACGCGTACTTCTTACTGCGCATGCGCCCTGCATCCCTCGCGCTCTCTTCCCTCAGCAGCCCAGTCAGGAGCTTTGTGCTCACTCTCGCTGTGAAGGAGGATGCGCAGCACCACGGCTCGGCGGAACCCACTCGGTTTGAACGGAACAGCGGAAGACTGAACAAAAACAATTTACACCACACACACACACACACAGACAAACACAGATTTACGTCGTAAACGGACGCGTTTTCGAGAGTTATATACGAAAAACAAAATCGGCGGCTGTTATGGAATTAAAGAAGTCCATCGCGGACAACGAGAGGAGCTACGGCGCCGTGCGCGAGACCAAATGGAGCAAAGACGACGGTATGAACTGTAAACACACCTCGCGCTGTACAAGACAATGCTTAATTCGTGAAATAGGGGTTTATTTTGCCAAAACAAAGCCGACCTGGTGTCTAGAATAGTTTAATGAAATGAATATAATAGTCTACTTTCCACAAGAACAAGCGCTTTTGTTACGCTTTTGTCTGTTTGACACGGCACGGCGTTAGCACGTTGTTATCAAAACAGTCAGTTTACAGGCTGAACAATAACACCACCCTTCATTATTTATACCCTGCATATAGATATCAAGCATGGAGATATGCCTCTGTTACAGAATCACTGGCTTAACGTAAAGAATTTAAACAAAAAAAATCTCTAATAAATAACATTTTAATAATCATAAACAATATATACTCCTATATGGACTATCTCATATACATTTTTACATTTTTACATTTTTTACTTAAAGTGCAACTTTAACTTCATATGCTTGACTTATGAAAAAGGAAAAAAAAATACTTTTGGTGTGTCTGATATAACCCCCCTCCATATTTATATTACACAGGTTATGTTTGGGAATAAATCAGATTGTAAAAATTGGTGAGACAAACTGCTTTTTTAAATAAAAAATGAAACAAATCGGTGAATTCACTCAACGTTACGTTACTTTCTTTTCTTATCTGCGCTCATACCTGCTGGCAGGAACAACCCCAGACGTGAGAAATGGTTCTGTGTTTTTATTGTTCCCCAAAAATATATATGTATTCAAGGTTGGACATTTCAAATATTATATTCTCAGCTGTTCAGACAGAACATCCTTTACTCAGTTGTGAACACAAGGTTAAAGCATGTTCGGTTTTATCTTCTTTTTTTTTGCATAGATTTGTTTTATGTATTCATCCACAGAGAGAGCGAGAGAGAGAGAGAGAGAGAGGTGAGACACGTGATAGCATTTTGCATTTCTCCTCTAAACTTTTTCGACTTTGAAGATTAAACCACTTACAGATTCCATATCTGGGATTTAGGAGGCGAGGGAATTCCACTGCTTTTCAACAGAGTAGAAACAGTACTGTCCAAATTACACCCATCAGCCATAACATTAAAACCACTGACAGGTGCAGGGAAAAACACTGATGATTTCATTACAGTGGCACCTGGCAAGAGATGGGATATATTAGGCAGCGAACAGTGAACAGTCAGTTCTTGAAGTTGATGTGTTGGAAGCAGGAAAAATGGGCAAGCGTAAGGACCTGAGCAACTTTGACTTTGACAGTTGTGACGGCTAGACGACTGGGTCAGAGCATCTCAAAAACAGCTGGTCTTGTGGGGTGTTCCTGGTATGCAGTGGTTAGTACCTACAGAAGTGGTCCAAGGAAGGACAACCGGTGAACCGGTGACAGGGTCATGGGCGCCCAAGGCTCAGTGATGTGTGTGGGGAGCGAAGGCTAGCCTGTCTGGTCCGATCCCACAGAAGAGCTACTGTAGCACAAATTGCTGAAAAAGTTAAAGCTGGTTGTGATAGAAAGGTGTCAGAACACACAGTGCATCACAGCTTGCTGTGTATGGAGCTGAGTAGCTGCAGACCGGTCAGAGTGCCCATGCTGACCCCTGTCCACTGCCAAAAGGGCCTACAATGAGCATGTGAGCAACAAAACTTGACCATGGAGCAATGGAAGAATGTGGCTTGGTCTAAGGAATAATGTTTCCTTTTACAACATGTGGATGGCCAGGTGTGTGTGCGTCGCTTACCTGACCTGGGGAAGAAATAGGATCAGGATGCACTATGGGAAGAAGACAAGCCAGCAGAGGCAGTGTGATGCTCTGGGCAAAGTTCTGCCGGGAAAATTTGTGTCCTGGCATTCATGTGGGTGTTTCTTTGACCACCTACCTAAACATTTTTGCAGACCAAGTACACCCCTTCATAGCAACAGTATTCAGTAATGGAAGTGACCTCTTTCAGCAGGATAATGCCCCCTGCCACACTGCAAATATTATTCAAGAATGGTTTGAGGAACATGACAAAGAGTTCAAGGTGTTAAAATTCCCCAGATTCCCCAGATCTCAATCCGATCGAGCATCTGTGGAATGTACTGGACAAACAAGTTCGATCCATGGAGGCCCCACCTCACAAGTTACATGACTTAAAGGATCTGCTACTAATGTCTTGGTGCCAGATACCACAGCACACCTTCAGAGGTCTTGTGGAGTCCATGCCTTGATGGGACAGAGCTGTTTTGGTGGCACAAGAGGGACCTACACAATATTAGACCGGTGGTTTTAATTTTATGGCTTATTGGTGGATGAAATGTGATTAAGTTTCCAACAAGTACTGGCACAGCGGGTAGCGTTGCTGCCTCACAGCGCCAGGATCCTAGGCTTAAATCTGAGTTTCGTATGTTTTCCCCATGTCCACACGGGTTTCCTCTGGGTTCTCCGGCTTCCTCTTACCTCAATTGCTTATGTTAAATTGCCCCTAGGTGAGAATGTGTGTATATGGTGTCTCATCTAGGGTGTGTTCTCACCACACTCCAAGTTTTCCTGGGATAACCTTGTCTTGTGGATTCGGCCACATGTTCTCATCCACATCACAATGGATGTTTTCATTAGCCAAACATCTTGGGAAGAATCTTCAGGCATGGTAAATCCAGGCCTTACTCTGGTCTGCCGTGATATCATTGGATGCACCATCCATGGCCTGGAGAAGGGTGACTTGTTCGTGAGGGCACCTTAAGCCCATGGCCGCCTTTCTGGTGAGGCCTAAGCCCTCCTATGATGAGGCCCACGATCACCTCTCAGAAGGGCTGCTTGTCCCCTGCCACTCCTTTGACCACCACATCTTCTTTGTCTTCCTCCTCTCACTGCTTGATCTCTATGTTATCGCTATGTTGTTGTAGGTGGATACCACTCATTTCACTATATACTCGTACCACAATGTGAAATCAATCATCAGTAACGAGTTGGCCTTATTGGAAAAGCATTTCAAAAAGCATGTCCCCTAGAGGACTAGTGATTAGGCCACAGCACTCTCACTGCAGTGACCTGGGTTCGATTCCCAGCCAGGGAACCGACCTCAGCCACTGGAGTTGTGTGCAACAGTGTGCTCTCAGTGCTGGTCCCAAGCCTGGGTAAAATTGGGATGGGTTGTGTCAGGAAGGACGTGCAGCGTAAAAACTGTGCCAAATCAAATACACGGACCAATGATCTGCTGTGGCGACATGAAAAATGTTTGATAATCTCACACTCCAAACTCTGATATCAGTCTGGCTGGAAACTGAGACAAAACAGTTTTTACGGTGGTACTAAAGCTTGTTTTGTTTTTGAGTAGGCGCATGCAGCAGGGGAGACTATAAGATTGGTGAAGTTAGTCCATCAGTATGAAGCGAGAAGAAACTGGCTCTATTTTTAGCTCCGGCCATGTTCAGTATTAGCGCAGAAGCAGAAGCTGCAGCAGCAGCAGCAGCAGCAGTGCTGATACAAGACTCATCTCACTGATCAACCTCCGCAGTGACGGTGATAGCACTGAGCAGCTGGATTTGATTTGACAGCGCTAGCTCAGAAAAGAAGTGCTTGTCGACCAAAAGGATGTAGGTTCAAATCCCAGGACTGTGGTGCAGGCCCTTGAGAAAGGCTCATCTCTGTGCTTGGATTGGATTCAGTGTCACTTATAAGATAGACAGTGTCTCTAACACAAATCTGTTTAGAGTTTGAAGCTAAACCCGAAGTGGACGTGGCCAAAGCCAGAATTTTTTTAAAAATAGATATGTACACTGATTCTGGGACTGTTTTTTTTTTTTTGCTTTTTTTTTTTTAATCTTGTTGCACAGTTATCTTCTTTTTTTTAAACTGCCCACAACATTTTCTGGCACATTTAGTTGTCCAAGTTTCCTGAAATATAAACAAACTAGTAGTCTAATTTAAGCTACCATGACACTAACCAGGAAGTACCATGGATGAATTAACGAACACTGTAAACGCATCACTGTAAATTCTCGTTCTCGCGGATGTGACTAAAAACATGACAAGTTGCATTTTTGTAATTTAAGAGGAGAGAAGATTATTCTCTTATGACCCGGTTTACATCCGAGGCCGTCATCGCTGACGCCTGAACCGCTAATTATAAAACACTTCCTGAACTGAATCCGGAGTGTTAGAGCAGTGCTGCTACGCTAAAAAAGGCTGAAACTGGAGGACGTCTGTGTTCCTTGTTGCTCACGTGATTGACGCACAGCCGAAATTAGCCAAGCACTGTAAAGGGGTTTATTTTCACTTGTGTGGATATCAGAACAATTTGATCAGCCAAGCAAGATTCCCGTTGAGGAATTAAAACACTGAAAACAGCTATAGGGGACCCGGAAAAAAAGGGCATGGTGTCATCAGCCATTTATGTTCAAAGCAGAGTATAAGGAGGAAGAACTGTGGCAGTTAGAAGTGCAAGCTGAGGCAAACTAAACTCAGATTAAAGTAGTATTAGACTTCTACATCTAGACAAATAACTAAAGTACCTTATTCCTGTGCTACGTTACATGATAACACATTAAATACTACTTTTATGCCGGAATTCTCATTTAATGAGTAACTACAAATTACTCAGTGAAAGAGCCTGAATGGTGCTCTTGAGATCAGCACTTCAGCCACCGAACTAAAGCTCAGGCCCTCATTACAATACATAAAAGCAGAATGTGAATGAGCTTTATCAGGTCACTCAAGTACAGGAAATGGATTTAACATGTTGCATGTGTGAACAGCCTCAGCTGCAGGTTGGCAGATTGGCGCCGGTCGTGCATATCCAGCGAGCCTTGTTAACTGTCCTCTGTGAGAAAGGTGTGCTGGGCTGAGAGCAGCTGGCACATTCCCAGTCTTTTGTGTGGGATTTCATTAAAAAAGGAGGAGTGGGATTGGTAAGCCACTAACAACTGTTTCCCCAGGAACGCACTGTGGCTTCATTTAATCAGCGAGCAACAGATGGAAAAAGAGAAAAAAAACTGACAGAATATGTGTGTGTGTGTGTGGTTGGGGGGTCTCAGTTATGAAAAATTCACAGTGTGATAATAATACATCCTAGTATCTGCATATAATTTATTTCACAGTTTCAACGAGATTAACAAAGAAGAAATGATTTGGTAAGGAAATCTGCTTCAGACTGCCTGTAGCGTTCAGTACTTTGTGTAACGTAGCAGTATAAAATACAGTTCTTCTTATTGTAATCTATTAAAAGTAGGTAGCATCTAGAAATAACCTCACTGTGCAATATAGACTCAGGTCATATCGAGTAAAACAAGATGTATATTTAGGGTCAGGGCTCGAAATGAACACCGTCCCACTCAGTGTTGGCTGCTTAAGAGGAAAAGTGTGTTATGTGCATCATGTACTCCATATTTGTTTATTCACTCAGCGTGACTGGTTTATCCCGGTTTATCTCCCAACTAGATATGTAAATTGTGATTTCCATTCGATTTATCTATTGTCAACTTGCAGAAGCCTTGCCAGGCTGAATGTAGAATTGGTAAAGAAAGACATTTAATTAGTAATGGAAGACAGAGCATGCAGTAATTGAAAACCGAATGATGAAGAGAGCACAAAAAAGGAAAGAAGTGTTGGATAGACTGTGAGTGGCTTGGATACAAATCAGCTACTATAAAATTGCACACACTCATACAGTAATGAATTGTTTCTCGTTTGTTGCAACAACACAGAAGGGGAAGGCTTGTCAGAGCTTTCATTACAGAGTGCCTTACAGAAGAATTACTCATCAACGGCTCATGACCATAGATTTTGGTGTGGCAGGACATAAATAACAACATGACCTCGAACAAATTTCCAGCTCAACTACATTAAAAAAAAACACACACACACAAAAGACCTGAAACTAGCCCAGAACATTTGGTTATTGGAAAAATGGAAGATGCATTTTTCTTTTTTTTGATTTCTCAGCCATTTCCTGGGAAACATTGTCACCGTGGTGCACATGCATTTCTGATATACAGGCATTATCCACTCTATAATCCTCCTTTCCCTCTCCTAATCTTTGAAACGTATCCTACAGTAGAAATGTTTCTGCACATCATAGACACACTGTCTGCACTTTAACATCCCTTTGTTTGTGGAAATGTTTTCAATTTAACTCTGATTATTTGCTATAAAACAAGATCTTAGTTGCTATGCAGTATATAGCCCAATTTGGAGTTAAAAACCCTGGCATTAATTGTCCTGTTCATAAAGAGAACACGGGGCAGCGTTATTGCTGCCCCAGTGGGCCTCTGTTAGTGCTTGTTGCAGTTCCCATTTTTGATCACTCAATATATAATAAAATATAAATACTCTATGGAGCTAAATGAGGCAACGAGCACAACTTGGTTATCTTCCTGCAAAGATCATGTTAGATAAGGAGCAAGTTTAACAAACGAGCTGGGTAAAACAAACTATAAATTGCTAGAACTAAAACTGAAACATATTTTGTTCAGAAAAGCCACAGTGACCGGTGAGTTACGAAATTAACTTCAAGCTGTAGAGCAGGACCCATTTAAAATGGACCAATAACAATGTCTTTTTATGACGTCAGGCCAAGAGAGCCCTATAATGGACATCCAGGAATGTCTGATCAGTCAGTATTCACTGTAAGATGAAGATCCATTGAGACTATGTATTTGTTTTTTTCCGGAAGATAAATATCTCAATTATATTACTTATACTAAAGATATCTAATCCAGTCGAGCTAAAGGTCACTACTCTGCATTTGGTGTGCATGCCAGCGTGCTATAATAAAACAAAGTTATCTTAGGCTTTATCTTACATAAAGATTACATAAAGGTTTCTTGCTGCTTTCTCTAACAATGTGTGTGTGTGTGTGTGTGAAGTCTCCCTGCTTCTGCACATAGCCAGTTGTCAGATGATTTAGTCTGAGAGAAGAAGCCCCCGCCCCCTGGCAGTTTGAGATTGTTGACGCGCTGTGAGTCAGCGATGGTTGATGCGAGTCATTGCTAGTGGTTAAATATTCATGCAGCAGTCCAGGGAGATGTTTACATCATGCCGAGGGTCATTTGATTTGTATTCAGTTTGGGAAAGCATGCGTCCTCTCAACAGTTCATAGCAATGAAGGCAGCAAAAAAGACTTTTCTTATCAAAAATGGCATCTTATAATAATGATACACTCCGTCTCCCAACCGTGCTGACTCGATAAAGCAGTCAGCCATTGTAAAAGCTGCTATGCTGGCAGGGTTTCTCATGCTCTCTCTGTAATTTACTCCTCCTGTGAGCTTCAGTTATACAGGACCATGCCTCCCTCGCATATCTCCCCTATGGCCAATTACAAAGTTTCTGCTCCAGTACCTTGAGAGACAAGATAACTGTAGCTGTAAAGAGGCTTCTGATCTGACAGCCAAGGCCAAGAACAATATAAAATTATACCACACTCTTTCAAAGCTTGGATAATTATATTTATTGGCATTGCTGTAAGTGTTGGTATGAAAGGGGAATCATTGTGGTCTCCCTGGACGTAATGAAAAGACTGCTGCTCATTAACTCCCAAACTCCCCAAAAAAAAGGCTTTGTAATGGATTTGTGGTGTTGCACCACTTAGCTATTTAAAATGCAGGAAATAGCTGCAAAAAATGCCTGTTTTTTTTTTTTTTTTTGCTGAATTAGCAAGCACAGAGATGACTGTAGATATTTTCATGATGCTTCATGTTCTGGAGAAGGGATTTAATGCCTGGCTTATGCTTCATTAGAACCGCCTCTGTGAGTTTTGGAGAGCCATAGTCTTTTAGAGCAGGGGTTTCCAAACCCTTTGCAGCCTGGGTAAAAAAATATTTGCCTCATTACCCCCTCTAAACACTAGACTGTGAAATATGGCTATGCTCTGATCCATGCAGGTGTAAGAACTGGGAACCTAACTCTTAAATAATTACACGTGAAAGCATCTTTACTGGAATTTGACAAACCTAATCTATGCAGAATACAGTGATCAGGTTTGAAAATTAAAAAAAAAAAAAATTCCATCCATTTTTCAAATTAGAGTTTAAGTATTAGTTCCCATTGGCCTGTCATATACAAAATAATATATTTCTG